TTATTTTGTAAAGAAATATTTGAATGTCTTGTTTTGGACATGAGCCAATAATGAGCATCGTCTCGTCATCTCATCGCCCGCCCGGCCCGCCCGCGGCCCCAGCGCGGCACTAGCGAGGTTCGCATGGCGTGTGGGACCGGCGGCCTCGGCTTGGGCAACACTGATTCTCTTATTCATGTCACTCCAGTTTGGACCAACGGCCGCGAGGCCGCCCCGTCCTGGAGCATCTATAGAGAAACACGCGGGCCGCCGCCGGGTGCAAGCGGCTGCGGCGCTCGGTTTCGACTTGCAGATATTAAACGGCGACGCGATCAAATTACAAGCCGAGGAAATGTATTCCGACTCGGAGATGTATCTCATTCCGGACCCACCTCGTCGTCGGTGACGGTGCCGGCGGTGTCGGCGGCCGTGTCCGAGGCGGTGCCGCTGGTCTCGGACGTGGTCGGCTCGGTGGACTCGGTGGCGTCGGTGTCGGCGTCCGTGTCGGCGGCGGTGGCCGCCTCGGTCGTGGACACGGACTTGGTGACCCTGGACGTCCGAAAACAAACGTTACAGCATGCCCTTAGACTGGGGGTTCGATGGAACTCCGACCCTTTTATTGTTTAAAAAATAACAGTAATATCTGCTCTGCTCTATATTTTATTTATCAGACATTGCCTGCAACGAGACATGTCTCTCGAGCGGGTGATTGTTCCATTCATTAATGCATCGAGTTAATTACTATCAGTAACTTGACCTCGCTGAGGTGATTAACTGTATAGAGTTGCGATTCGCAATGGTCTTTTTTTTAACCTTTCGGGTTCAGGCAATTATTTCTACGTTGGTCACTCAATGCTGTGAAGCACTCGTCGCCTGATCGGGGCCGGAGCAAGAGCGGCTTTGCGCCAGGCGGGAGTACAAGCCATGGGACTGCAAACATACTCCATGCAAGGGGAGACTACTAATTCTTCCACACATACAAAAACAAACTTGGAGCATGCTTTGATGACGACTGTGACATCACCGAATGGCATTTTATAAACTGGGGAGTAATTTTGAATCGATGATGATTGGGTCACAAGGGGGAGCCCAGCCGAGGGGCAGCGCGGTGCGGCACCAGGGGGCACTGTCAGCCCGCCCGCCTCGTCTATGTGCGTCAGTCTGGAGCGATAGGAGGAAATGAAAGAAAAATGAGAGAACGTGAAAGGCTGTGATGAGCCACGAAAACGAAAAATGTTTGGTTCGAAACTCGTCCGGGTGTCTTTTTTCCCTTTTTTTTGCTGTGTGATCTCACCGTTGTCGTACGTACTGTGCACTAGGCGTGGTCCGTGTCGCAGCTCCAGTCTCCTGCAAAGCCGTTGGACTGTACTTACTTATGATGGCGGGTGCCGTAGTCGCATTACCGTGTCGGATGAAAAAGGAGATGGAGATATACCAACATAAGCAGCGTGCAAAGGCAGAGGTTCAGAAAAGCTGTTGATTAGAGCCAAGAATTACTGAGACCAGACGGCAAGTGTATATCGTTTGCTAGAACTAGAATTATGCGACAGTGAAAAATACGCCGAGGGTTCTGTAAAATTATTAGAGACTTGTTTTAAAAAATCGCACCGTTCTAGGCCTGGCAAGTGACACGCACTTTGAGACAGGAAATCGTAAAGGGTGAGAAATAGCCATCGAGAAACCAGCATATACATTTTTTTCACAGTCTAATTTGTTTCAGTGGGCCGTTTGCACTTCTGCAACCGTTTGACGCGTTTGACGGACTGGGGCTTAATCGCAGCGGAGGCGCTCCTCAGCCCGCGCGTTTATGCCGGCTTCTTGGCGACAGACCAAGGACGAGGAACAGAGAGTGATGGATGAGGGGTGAAAGTGATACGGTTCGGTCTGGTCGGGGCGTGGCGGGGCGTGGCGGGGCGTGGCGGGTGCAAGCGAGCAGCCAGCCTGACTTGCCGGTGCGCCCCCGGGTGGGGCGGGCCGCGGGGGTGGACGCGGGCGCGGGGCGCGGACGCCGCCTCCACCACCCCCGCCCCCGTCGTGCCGCTCAGCGTCCTGCCCGGGGGCCGGGGTTGGCGACTTGACTCGCCGCCCCCAGGCCCACCCCTCGACTGCGGGTGGTGGCTCGTCCTGGTTCGGCCCCTGCGTCGCGGGGCCGGTCGTGCGACGACGGGGGCCGCCGTCGAGGGTACGTCTGTCGAGGTGTCCGTGTCCGCGACCGCCGCGGTACTCGTGGCGGGGCGGCGACGCGCGGCGGGCGTGGGCCTCCAGGACGGCGTCGTCTCGTCCTCTACTTGCCTCTCAAAGATCTCGTAGTCCCTCTTGGCGCGCCGGCGGTCGACCGCGTCGGCGGAGTCCAGCTGGAAGCGCACCGCCTGCAACACGGGGCGACGGGACGGTCAGATCCACACGGGTCAGGCTGCGGTCGGGCACCGCCCTGTCGACCAAAACGCACCTTGACGAACGCGGTGAGGTGGGACTTGTTGGCGGCGCCGTGGTGGCTCCAGTCCAGGTCCAGCTCCACGCCGTCGACCGTGGCCTTGCGCAGGGCCGCGCTCACGGCCTGGGACGCGCGCTGCCGGCGCTCCTCGCTCTTGAGCTGCGCCGCCCCCACCTGCAGCTGCAGCAGCGCGCGCACCCACGGGTTGCGCTTGCGCAGCGCACGCACCTCGCTGCGCACACCTGCGGAGGAAGAAAATGAAGATGCAAAAATAAGGTTTCGGTCTCGACCATTGGTAGTGCATTGAGGTATATGAGGTACTAGGACACTGACACGCGGGCGGAGCCATATAGAGCGCTATCGAAAACGAATCGCAATAGTAATTCGATTGTCCGGCCGAGCTCGATTAGCGGTCTCCTCGTGTCATTCACGCGTTGCCCCGGCCGTGATCCCATTTCTGTACCCGGCGGGGATCGGCGGGGCGGGGCGCGGCCGCGGTCTGAGACCGGACCGGACCGCCTGCAGCAGGAGACGCAGCGTCGCAAGCGTATTCTGTTGTCGTGTGCCCCCCAGTGTCTTTTCGAACGATCTCATTATCGCTTTCGCGAGTGCCACCTGTGTGTCACGACGGTTCACGGGTGTTTTCGCTCGTAACCAGACTTGGGCCCGCCGCTTGAGACTTCCGGCCGGGCCGGGCGGGTCGGGTGGCATCACCTGCGCTGCCGTCCTTGCGCCTGGCATTTCTCAGATATTACCGCCTCGGTATGGCGCGTGGTCCGGCCCGGCCCGACCCGCGGCCCGATCGGCCCGACCTTGAAGGCCGTTTTGTGGATCACTCCAGATCCGATTCCGGTCCTGAGCCTGTGAGCCGCCGCCGCCGCCGCTGAGGCGAGGCGGATGCGAGCGGCGCAACCAGGTCAGGGTTCGCGTTCGCGCGCCCGCTCGGGTCGGGTCGGGCCCGGTCGGGGTCCGGTGTCGGGTCCGGTCCATGACGGGGGAGGGAGCGAGAGAGACAGAGACCTGCAGCCCGGCGCGGCCAATGGCATAAGTGCACTCCTCTCTCTTTGCGCGCGCATCTCGCCGGCTGCTCCAGAGCACCTCGGAGTCCTCCTCCCGATACCGAGGTCCTCACGGGGAGCCATCCTGGCAGCCAGCAGACCGGGCATCCTTGACGGCGCGGCCTGGACGACGACTGGATGCTGATCCGGTTATTCAGAGCACCGACTCTGCTTCCTCCTCCTCGATGCGACGCGGCGCGACTCGAAACGCACTCAATGAGCATTATGCGCTTGTTTCGGGCGCGTGCCTCTCGGCGTGCTGAGCGAGTGCTGAGCGGGTGCTGAGCGATTGCTGAGCAGCGAGTGCTTACATGGAGGAAGGCAGGACGTGGTGCGGTTGGCCGCTCTCCTTTTAAGCACCGCCTCCGCTTCGCTCCGCGCAACGCCGCCAATCTCCATATGTCCGCCCGGCCCTCCCAAGTATGGACCCGAACGCGAACGCGAATGCGAACGCCGCCGCAGTTTCGATTCGCGATATTAGCCTCTGTCTATCATCAAAGCAAAGAAAAACAAACACATGTTCTCGTTCCTTTTGTTTGTTTTTAATTTTTTTCAAAACCTCCCGGCTCTGCGAAATTTGTCGCGCGTCGCCCCCGTACGTACGTACGTATACAAGTGCTGCGCAACCGCCTTTCATTTGTTGAGGAAATCAGAGCCAAGTCGTCCCTCCCGCCCCGCCCGCCGAGCGCTGCTGTCACATTGTTCGTGGTGCGTAGGTCGCTGCAGCTATGGCCCTATGGGCAGGGAGGGGGACACACACTTTGCTGTCAGCGGCCTCACTCACCGGTCTGTTCTGACTGAGCGCAAAAAAAACCTTTCTCGTTTTCGTGACCTATTATAACTCTAGTTGAATACGGCGCGGCCAAAATCAGACCCCTGGCCACCGTGCCCACTCGGCTGAGGCAAAGTTCTAGCCGCACTCGACCTGTTTCCTATGACAGGTCAAAGCTCGCGTCCGCTAAAAAAAAAAGACTGGTTGACTCATTAACTAATCTGGTAAGAAAGGTATTTCTTTTTTCAACTATGGTATGACTTGCCTGTCCGGGACGTGTAAGTTTCCATAGTGCCCATGACCAACTCTATGGACGAGGATCAGTGAAATAAGGTTCAGAGGAAGAAGGAGAAGGAGAAAAAGGTTTTTAATGCTTCCGCCAAAACTAATGGATGCCCTGCTAATGGATGACTCAATTAGTTGCCATTACTATTAATCCCCAGTGATTGGGCCATGGTGGCGGCGAGTCGTCCTTGGGCCCCACAGGAGGACGTCGTGAGGTGTGGTGGGGCGTGGCGGGGCGTGGCGTGGAGTGGCGGGGCGTGGCGGGGCGTGGCGGGGCGTGGCG